ACTAGAATGTTGGCATAATTGCTCTGGGTAGATCTCAGGTATGTTGTTTTTAACAAGGTTTCCTGTGTGATTGTAGCATCCAGCTAAAGTTGGGCCCTTTTTATCTAAGCAGGCAGTTTGTGGTTCCATTCCTTGTCTCCTCACTCAGCTCTTGCTCAAGTTTAGGCACTTGCTTCTAGCCCCAGAAATAGAAAGCCAGGGCTCCCCAGAGCTCTAATGATTAGCCTGGATAAAAGTCCCAGGGTGGGAGGTCTCCAACACCTGCATGCTCTCCCTTCTGGGGCGGTAATACTTTCTTCCTCCTCTAATAGTGGCTATTCTGTCCCTCTTCCTCCCCCTCCTCCTCCCTACATCGGAAACAGTGTTAGGGTTTCTTACCATGTAAATTGCAGAGTTCGTGGAGCAAAACAGGAATGTTCAATGTTGCCAAATAGCATATCCTAACAGGCCTATGGTGGTTTGCTCTGCATATTTACCACTAAAAAGTGCTGCGAATGTCATGGTAACCACAGATGAGCCTGTGTTAAAACATGAGATCAGTGGGGTTTAAATCTGTGCATCAACATTACCTGGGGATCCTGGTAAAATCCACGTTCCTTCCTCCCACCCGAAGAGACAGTGAATTAGTGAGTCTGCAATGGGCCATGGAATCTGGATTCATAACTATTACCTAAAGTGCTTCTGATACAGTGACCCGACCCCACATCTGGAGAAGCAGCAAGTGCCAAGTTCAGAGATAAAGATTCCCCAGTGGCTTCATATTTCCCTGTGCTTGTAAATCAACATATCTCACAGACAGTAAATTCATATCATAGGTGTCATCAGGAAGAAGCGAGGACCAAGACAACCCCAAAGAGTAGTTTATCTCTAAGAATGCTTCTGTCATTTTTTTTGAAGAGTTATTTTTTTTCTCTCATTTGATTGGGGAAAAAAGAAAGGGAAAAGCTTAGCTTTAGATAATCGTGACATAAGGCTCAGATACTCATTTTCTTCCATTGTTTAAGAATCTTAAAGTATTTTTATTTAAAAAAAACCATAAACTGATTTTTATAAAGAAACTTGACTTGTGCCGAGTTTAAAATTGGTATAAGAGATCTGGGGGAGGGAACAGTCACTTTCTGATATCTTTTTGCAGTACACATTGTCCATTTCTGTATGGACAGAGGAAGGGCTCTATGCTCAGTGACGGATATACTGGAGCTATTGTGTCCATGGCATGTCATGGCGGACAGATGAGGAACTGGGACTTCATGAATGCACTCCACATAACCATCAGAAGAACTGTCGGAGGCCTTCTCAGACGTTTTAGAAAGTGCTCTTTCGTGGTCCACCCTGCCTCTCTGCTCCTTGTCTGCAGCCCCAGGCAGTGAAATGTTTAAAGAACCCTCGCCATCCCTACTACTCTTGATCCTTTACCATCTTCCCCCTTTGTCCATCCTAGTCTTTGATTTTACTAAACCCACCTGGAAAGGTAAACTGCCTATGAAATGGTGGGAACAGTGGGCCAGCCTGTGGTCTAGGGGAACACTAGCCCGTGAGCTGCAGCTGGTTCCTGGCTACAAGAACACAGGCCCAAACATCCCTGGCACACTGAACCCACCTTCCTTTTACCTGCAGACCCTCCTCCGCAGTAGAGCTAACTGGAAACAATCAACAACACATAGGAAAGAAATAGCAGTATGATTTTCATTAATGGAGGAGGGGTTACCTTACCAGAAATTGAGGCCATACGTTAAGGGGAAGGGGTGTTTTTAATTCTTGTTTAGTCAACACCTCGTGTATTTCAGCACTCCAGTTTGATTGTGAGCCACTATCAAATGAAAGGTGAATGGTGTGTTGTCTTGTGTGTAGCTATATATTTTGCCATTGTAATAGGAACCTCAGCTAACTATTATTTTTTTGTACTTATTTTTATTTAAGTGTGAATCGCTGTGTGTATGCCACCAGTGCTCATGAAGGTCAGAAGGAGCTAGAGTTACAGGCAGCTTGTAAGCCACCGGACCCGGCAAGCATGCTTAACCATTGAGCCAGCCTTCCAGTCCCTCTTTGCATTATTTATTAATTCGAAAGACATCCATAAACAATCTTGTGTACTTGGCTTTGTAGTATCCTCTGAGAGGTATACAATACATAAAGGGATGGGAAATGTGTTTGTCTGTTTGTTTGCTTGCTTTTACCTAAAAATATTTACAGTCTTAGAGAAAGAGACGGTGTATATGGATTAAATACCACAATGGTATTGTAAGGACTGTGATAGATGTTTTTATAGAGGTCAGTGGAACAGGCAGAAGAGAGAATGTAGGGAATTGGGTGTAACCGTGTTTGAGGTGGTGACTATGTCTGCAAGCAATATGTTGCAATGCATAGCACATTAATCTCATCATTGACAAAATGAAATATCCATAATAAAATGCACATTCTTTCATTCAGTAAATGTTTATCGAGGGCCTGCTGTGTGCAGACGCATTGTGATAGGCACCTTGTTGATATGTAATAAGCTAGAAAAGGAAGTGGGCATGTAATTCAATTATCATACAAATCAAACATGCAAAAATTAGCTATAGCTAGTGCAACAAAGGTGAGATGCATGTTTCTTGAAAGCTTAAAAATCATCATATTTCTCTAAAGTTGAGAGACATTACTAGAGCTAAAACCATAGAGCATGAAGAAAGCAATAATTGTGGACTCTGCTGGAGGTTAAGGATCAGATGTTGGAGCTGAGAACAAGTGGGGAGTGTCAGGGACCAAGTTTCCAACCATCACTTCGTCCCAAAACCCCATCCATAGGTGGACTCTAATGTCCAGAGCTGGAGCCATGGAAGAGCTAGGGGTTTGGAGTAGGCAGGATCCCCACAAATTCTGTTGTACACAGGGTGAAAGCAGTAATATTCATATCTTATTTTACTTTACTCCCAGAAATGCCATAGCATCCTAAGGGAGTAGAAAACATAGCCTTCTTGAGCTCCCCTTCAGCCTGTGGTGTAGTGACAGGCCACAACAGAAATGGGGAAGCAGAAAACCCCTGATGCGTAAAAGATAAGTAAGTGACATTTAAGATTTTATCCTCCATTTTAAATTCATGCTTTTTTATAGAAACTGGGATATATCTTATGTCTACAGCAATAATCCCTAGTAGACAGCATCAAGTGGCAGAGTGAATTCTGAATATATTGATGGTAATGGTGTTAATACTACAAACTCAAGATGACAAAAATATTATTTCTTCCTGGATGTGTATTGGCTTGACTTGGGGAGACTATCACACTCAGAAAACTAGGTAGTGTGGTCATACAAACATAAAAAACATTTCACTAAATTGTGGTGACAAACTCTTCCTCCAGAGATTCCAGGAGTTAGTGTGAAGCAAAGGCTGTTGAACTAAGACATTGACTTTTACTTACAAAACTTTGGCCACCCATGTCTTGACTCTTCAGGGAACTATCAGGATATATATGTTCAGCTAGAACATTCAGTTCTATTGCATCAATGACAAATAGAATTAAAGCAATAGAAGGTATATAGGTAAGATCAGAGGTGATCAACTGATAACAAATAGATAATAAAGGAGGCTGATATGTAGATATCGGACTGATAGACATTATAGGATGGAATGGCCAAATTTTCTAGACCAATCACCATATTTTTCTTAGAGTGAAGGTTATAAGAAGTTTTCTTCAAATTACTAATATTTTCCCTTCTGTAACAAATCAGAAACTAACCTATCCTGTAAGTTTACCTCTATGTGCACAAATTAAGCTTTGAGTGAACTTGGAGGATTATGTCCATGCGTGACTACCATGGCTTTAAACTCTCCGGAATAGTGAGAGCATTTCTAAATAAAGTGGTGTCAGTATTTCCAGTGTCAGTTAGCCCTTCCATTCCCTCTGTGACTTTGTAAACTCCGACAATGATTTGCCATTCTTGGGAGTCAGTCCTAGGAAAAGTGTTGAAGACATTCAGTCATTTCTGTAGGGGAAACACAGATGCCAGAGTAAAGGAAAGGTGATTTTGAATGATCACAATTTGTTCCTGGTACATTTGCTTATAAAAGTCAAGCTTTCTTTGGAGACTTTCCTCAAAGAGTTGGAACTGTTCAACACAGCCCACAGATCCTGCCACATGCTAGCCCTCAAGCCCAGGGGCACGCCCATCAACAAAGATGAGGATAGTTCCTGCAAGTTTCTCTTCTTGTGTGTCTTCTGCATGTCCTACACATGTGCTGTTTTTCACTTGCTGACCTCAGTGGGGCTTGCATACAAAGAGACTGAGCTCTGTGGTGTGTGGTCCACACTAAAGTAAGCAGGGAATCCGAAGAGGGGCGTACTATGCTTCTAAGGGGAGACTGGGCAAGTAAGAGGCAGCTTGAATTAGGCAAAGGAGCACACGTGGGGGAGTTCAGGCTCTTGCTGACTCTTCTGCCTTGGGCAGGATTCTCCACTCCTTAAGGGTCAGCTTCTTCTTCATAAGAGTCAAGCTCAGAAGCTTGGGCCTATTCTGTCCTCTCTCTATAGAGTTCTTGGACTATTTTAAATCACATTCTTTAGAGGGGAAATACAGCAATTAAAGCGTCCTTGTTAAGGTTCAAATCCAGTATCTTTAGAACTATAATTGAGAAAATCATTCTGTTTTTTTGTTTTTTGTTTTTTGTTTTTTGAGACAGGGTATCTCTGTGTAGCTTTGCGCCTTTCCTGGAACTCACTCTGTAGACCAGGCTGGCCTCGAACTCATGGAGATCCTCCTGGCTCTGCCTCCCAAGTGCTGGGATTAAAGGCGTGCACAACCACTCTCTCTCTCTCTCTCTCTCTCTCTCTCTCTCTCTCTCTTTCTGTGTGTGTGTGTGTGTGTGTCTTTCTCTCCCTTGCATTCTGAAGTTTGGTAAAATATTAGCATAACCACTTATTTGAAATTTAAAATAATTAAGCTTTTAGACAATAAACTCTAAGGAGTTCTGACATGCTCATTTTTGTTTTTCTCTTCCTCTTCACTCTACCCACTTTCAGGCTTATGAGAGGCCCCAGAAACACTCAACACTTCATTATGACTCAGGCCTCTCACAGGGCTTCACCAGTGACACCTTAAAACCAAAGCACCAGCAAAAAAGCAGCAGCCAGAACCACATGGACTGGTCCACCAACTCTGACAGTGGGCCCACCACTCAGAATTGCTTCATCAGTCCAGAGTCTGGCAGAGACATTGCAAGCACCAGCAAGATCCCAGCTCTTGAACCCGTGGCTTCCTTTGCAAAGGCCCAGAGCAAGAAAGGCAATACAGGGAGTCCCTGGAGTCAGTTGTCCAGCAGCAGCAAAGATCTTCTCTTGGGAAATGTGGTACCCTCCCCCAGCAACCACAGCTCCCCAGCGCCCACTAGCAACTCAGCTGAGGGCAACGGACTCCAGCCATTGGGAGATCAAGATGGAGGAGGTACCAAGGAGCTCCCAGAACCACCCACTGTAGGTAGCAAGAAGAAGTCCAGTAAAAAAGATGTGATCAGTCAGACCATACCAAACTCAGATTTGGATTGGGTCAAAAGTGCCCAGAAAGCATTTGAAAACACAGAAGGGAAAAGAGAGGGTTACTCTGCAGATAGTGCTCAAGAGGCTTCACCAAGCAGGCAGAGTATCAGTTCCGTCAGTAATCCTGAAAATGATTCCAGTCATGTCCGGATTACTATCCCCATAAAGACACCTTCTCTGGATCCAACCAACCATAAGAGGAAAAAGAGGCAGTCCATTAAAGCCGTGGTGGAAAAAATCATCCCAGAGAAAGCACTAGCTTCGGGAATTGCTATGAGCAGCGAAGTAGTTAGCAGGATACTTTCCAACTCAGAGGGAAACAAGAAAGAGCCTCGAGTCCCAAAGTTGGGAAAGATGATAGAGAATGAGCCCCCCTCAGTTGGCCTTGAAACATGTGGGAATACTGAGAAAACTGTCCCTGGAGGTGTGTCTAAGCAGAGGAAAGCACCCGTGGTCATGACATCACCAACACGCACAGAGCACTCTCCGTCAGGAAAGCTGCCTGAAATCCAGCACCCCAAATTTGCTGCAAAAAGGAGGTGTAGCAAAGCAAAACCTCCGGCTATGCTTCGAGAGGCAGTCTTAGCTACGGCTGAGAAACTGTTGGTGGAGCCGCCATCTGCTTACCCCATTACCCCATCCAGCCCTCTGTACACCAACACGGACAGTCTTACTGTGATCACACCGGTCAAGAAGAAGCGGGGACGACCAAAGAAACAGCCTTTGCTCACAGTGGAGACAATTCACGAAGGTACCTCCACTAGCCCAGTTAGTCCCATCTGCAGAGAGTTTCCTGGCACCAAGAAACGAAAGAGGCGGCGCAATCTGGCTAAGCTGGCCCAGTTGGTGCCAGGAGAGGACAAACCTATGAGTGAGATGAAGTTTCACAAAAAGGTTGGAAAGCTTGGTGTGTTGGATAAGAAGACCATCAAAACGATCAATAAGATGAAGACCCTCAAGAGAAAAAATATTTTAAATCAGATCTTGTCCTGTTCCAGCAGCGTGGCCCTCAAGGCCAAAGCTCCCCCGGAGACCAGTCCTGGGGCAGCATCATCCATTGAAAGCAAACTGGGCAAGCAGATTAACGTCAGCAAGAGAGGAACCATCTATATTGGCAAGAAGAGGGGCAGGAAGCCAAGAACAGAGTTGCCACCCCCATCCGAAGAACCCAAAACAGCCATCAAGCACCCCAGGCCTGTTTCCAGCCAGCCGGATGTTCCAGCCGTGCCTTCCAACTTTCAGTCACTTGTGGCTTCTTCACCAGCAGCCATACCCCCCCTTTCGACACCGTTAGGTGGGTCCAATGGCAACCTGAGCCCCGCCAGCACTGAAACCAATTTTTCAGAATTGAAAACTATGCCAAACCTCCAGCCCATCAGTGCTCTTCCAACCAAAACCCAGAAGGGAATCCACGGCGGGACCTGGAAGCTGTCTCCACCCAGGCTGATGGCCAACTCTCCTTCGCACCTTTGCGAGATCAGCTCGCTGAAGGAGATAACGTTGTCCCCCGTGAGCGAGTCCCACAGTGAGGAGACCATCCCGAGCGACAGTGGCATCGGGACAGACAACAACAGCACCTCGGACCAAGCAGAGAAGAGTTCCGAATCCCGACGGAGGTACTCTTTCGACTTCTGTGCCCTGGACAACCCGGAGGCCATCCCCTCTGACACCAGCACAAAGAACAGGCACGGCCACCGGCAGAAGCATCTCATTGTGGACACGTTTCTGGCCCACGAAAGCCTCAAGAGGCCAAAGCACAAGAGGAAAAGGAAGAGCCTGCAGAACCGCGACGATCTCCAGTTTCTGGCTGAGCTGGAAGAGCTCATCACCAAATTTCAAGTGTTCAGGATCTCCCACCGGGGCTACACTTTTTACCATGAGAACCCATACCCCAGCATCTTTAGGATCAACTTTGATCACTATTACCCGGTGCCATATATCCAGTATGACCCATTGCTCTATCTTCGTAGGACTTCAGATTTGAAGTCAAAGAAGAAGCGTGGTAGGCCTGCAAAAACCAATGACACCATGACAAAGGTGCCTTTTTTACAGGGGTTCAGCTACCCTATTCCCAGTGGAAGTTACTATGCACCCTATGGAATGCCTTACACATCAATGCCTATGATGAACCTTGGTTACTACGGTCAGTATCCCGCTCCTCTGTACCTATCGCACACACTTGGAGCAGCGTCCCCATTCATGAGGCCCACAGTGCCACCACCTCAGTTCCACACAAGTTCCCATGTCAAGATGTCTGGGGCAACTAAACATAAAGCCAAGCATGGAGTACACTTGCAGGGGACTGTAGGCATGGGCCTCGGTGACATACAGCCATCCCTGAACCCTCCCAAGGTGGGCGGGGCCACGCTGTCCAGCAGTAGGCTCCACAAGAGGAAACACAAACACAAGCATAAGCACAAGGAAGACCGAATCCTAGGGACCCACGACAATCTGAGTGGTCTCTTCGCAGGCAAAGCAACAGGCTTCTCCAGCCACCTCCTGAGCGAGCGGCTGAGCAGTGCAGACAAAGAGCTCCCGTTGGTGAGTGAGAAGACCAAGCATAAGGAGAGACAGAAGCACCAGCATGGTGACACCGGCCACAAGGTTTCCAAGAACAACTTTGAGGTGGACACCCTGTCAACACTGTCACTTTCTGATGCCCAGCACTGGACACAGGCTAAGGACAAAGGGGACTTGAGCAGCGAGCCTGTGGACTCGTGTGCTAAACGGTACTCTGGTGGGGACAGTGGCAGCAGCACAAGATCCGAGAGTCTGGATGTGTTCAGTGAAATGAATCCTTCCGGTGACAAGTGGGACAGTGACGTCAGTGGGGGTAAGAGGCGGAGCTTTGAAGGCTTTGGGACATACAGGGAAAAGGACATCCAAGCCTTCAAGATGAACCGCAAAGAGAGAAGTTCTTATGAGTCCTCCATGTCTCCAGGTAAGACCACATTTTTCTCTGGATTTGGGCTTCCCTGTTGTTTAAGTCCTGGCCTTTGCAGTATGAATGCCAATCATATTGGGCACATAGTGTTCACTGTTTTACAAAAAGGGGGAGCTAAATGCAAATAGGCTGCCTTGCATGATTGAGTTTGCTTCATATTTCATATATTGTTTACATGGTTTCGGCTGTCTTTCTGATCCACTAAAGCCAATGCCTCGAAACAGAGACAGCCTCAGTAACTCTCCAGGTGACAGACATACATGCTACAATTGTACTTCTTTTCTTATTTTGGTTTGGTTCAATTTTTCAAGACAGGGTTTCCCTGTGTAGCCCTGGCTGTCCTGGAACTCACTCTGTAGTCCAGGCTGGACTAGAACTCAGAGATATGCCTGCCTCTGCCTCCCAAGTGCAGGATTAAAAGCATGCAATACCACTTCCCAGCTTACAATTGTACCTTTTTATTAAAGATCCTGTTCTTACCTCATTAGGTCCTGATTACATGATACAGTTTGCTAGTTGAGGCTCTAAAACTCAGTAGACTACCAACAAAATCTTAAGAATGCCAAGGCTAAAAGAATGGCACTGAGTGTATGTGACATGTTGTCAGTAAAAGTCACCTATCTTAGGTGATAAATTTACCACAAAGTGATTGGAAGCTAGTGATTAGAGAATCCTGAAGTCTAACCAATCAGGAAACTACAGTCTTAAACCATGTCATCGATTCTTAACCATGAGCATTGGAGAGGCTGCCACAGTCAGGAGTCAGGTGAAGCCTTGATTGAGTTCACAATCTTGCTTCCATGCACTAAAGGGAAGAGGCTTGGAGAAAGGTATTTTGTTCCTCCTCTACAGACAGAACCATATCCCTGTGATTTTTAGCACACCCACTAAATTGGGATTTTTACTTACTGATGTCTAAACGAATATGTTCATTGCTACCAGAAAAATCTCACTCCTTGTCAGTTACTGGCAGAATTTCTTTGCTACTCTCCTGGTCCACATAAATCCTTTCCTGCCATGGAGTTTTACAATTTGGCAAACATACCCCTGTATCCCTGTCCATATAGTACATGAATGCTAAGACTCTTAGGGGCACATAATTACTTGGAAAATAGTAGAAATTCCCTAAATAAGAATTGAAATGGGTTAAAAGAATATCTCAGGGACAATAGTCTCTTGTCCCCAAATGGTATAAAGCACTCTGGCCAAACCCTGGTTTTAAAGGACTCATTAGACACTGAAGATGTGGATATAATATTTTAATCTCAGTTTAGGTTGCATGGTTCCCACTTGCCCTCTGTCTTCCTGGGGAGTCCACAGTTAGTGACTGTGGAAACGGTCTGTTCAAAAAGAGTGAAATACTATTTCTAGGCCAACAATTCTCAGAAACGACTAAACACTGCATCGCATTGCTGTTGGTTTGTGAGTTACCACGGTGGTAGAATGCCTTCTTAACGAAAGGAGACGGGTTGTAGTTATGTGTCATGGATTTGGTGACTTGGTGACATGGTGAAGGTACCAAATGGCCCGCATACCCTGCCTGCCCAGAACAGCAGCTCTGCTTTTGCTATTGCTCATTCAAGGACTACCTGGTTTCTTGAAGAGCCTAGATGAAGCCCACCTGGCATGGGTATTGTGTTAAACATGGACATGAAAAATGTTGGTATCTTCCAGCAGCATAGCACTGATCTACAAAAGCTGAACTAGCAATGGACAGAGTTGTTATTTGTGGGGAGTTGGGGGGTGCGAATAGGGGGAGATGGTAATTTCTGAGAATCATTTAGCTAAAAAAAAAAATACTAACAGTGGTTCATTTTCCTAAGAAGTTATAAGAATCTAAGGTACACAGACTTAAGGGAAGGAAAATTCCTGGAGTGAAAATCAGTGGCATATGACATTGGGACTTTCCTGTGGTCAGACATTTTTGCTGGGTGTTCAGTGAATTCTCAGTTTCCCAGAGGTGGCTCATCTCCAGACACTTGGAGTGCTTCTGAGGTACCCTCACTCCAACAGTGCATTAACGTGGTAAATATTATTTTATTCAAAACCCTCCCTACCTTTCTCTCCTATAATCTCATTTGATATTCAGTCAGCCATAGGAGAGGGAATGAAAAAGCCATCAGGTCAGCATTCGAAGTGAGCCATGCTGAGACAAAAGTACTGGGTACTAGGCACAGTTCCGTAATGAACTACCTGTTTGGCCTGCAGCATGGCATTTCACTTCTTTCGGGTATTACCTCCCCATCCATCACTGAAAGAAGAGGGCCTGAATTCTCATGTGTAGTGTATTTGAAACCCTGAAATTGTTTTTTACACATTGCTTCATAGTATGCTTTCTGCCGACCTAGCCTATAGATACACATTGAGTATTGTTTATCCAAAGTGCTTGGGACGAGAATATTTTAAATTTCAGATTTTTTTTATTTGCAAATATTTGCATTATATAATGAGACATCTTGGGGATAAGACCAGGGTCTAAACACAAAATCCATTTATATTTCATATGTAGCATATACACATAGCCTGACAGTAATTTTATATGATCTTTTAAAAATGTTTTTTTGTGGAAAATGAAATTTATAGTATGGGATTTTTCTAATCCTGTTATATTGGTGTTTAAAATTACTTAGTTTTTGGGGTATTTCAGATTCTGGATTTCCAGATAGGTTATGCCCATCCTGTGTTATTATTTTTCATTGACAAATGCAAACACAGGGCTCCAAGAGAGCCAGTGACCTGTCCACGGTCACACAGCTGTCGGTTGTGATGCTAAGCGAGTCCGACCTTTGTCTGCTGCGCTGAGGTGCAACCACAGCTCATGCCCTGACTAGGGGCAAGTCCAGAACACAGGGCCTGTTTCCAAGCTGGGCAAACCCACGTGCCGCTATTGCCTTCAGAATCTCCTCCGTCCTCCGGTGGCTTTCCCTTTGCCAAGGTGTTACTGTCCACTGATCATGTGACATTTGCAGAAGAAAGCAATGAAGGAAAGAATGCAGTCTTTGACTTAGTCCCCAACTTGCGCAGGGCCCCTCATGACCCCCCCTTCGAAACACAAGTTGGAAGTAATTCTCAAGAATAGGTGTGATTTTCTGAGGATTTTTGCCACTCCTTTGTGTCAGTCTCTGGCTAATTATCTGGGTAATTTCCCACCCCCCAACTCATTAAAGAATCATAATCACTAATGGCTTCTATGTGTGTCTAAGTGAATTATACTTGATGTCTCTGCTCATCTTGTTAACTAGCCCCTCCCTTGCAACCCTTGACCTACCCATGCCTGTGTCCTAAATACCCCATCTATTTCTGCAGCCCAAAGCATCAGGCAAAAATGTCCTTGGCTATACTTAGAACCTAGGATCAGAGTTTGTCAAAACTCTCTAGAAGGCATCTTCCTTAATGTGAAATATTTTTTAAAACGCACAAAGTCCCATGAAAAGATATGAAGCAGGTAAGATGAAGGGGAGGGTACTGGAGCCATTAAGAGCTTCCAGAAATTGTATTCATGTGGACAACACTAACACTCATGTAGGAAAATACCTGAATTTCCCACAGCTTCTTTCCCAGCACTCTTTGTCATTCTATGCTGGATTCATTTCCTCCACCTCTGAACATCCCATCTCACACGAGCTATTCTTCTATAAAATAGATACAGCCACTATATAGTTGTTCTATAGCCTACTGAAGACCAGATTTAGGAGCTTGGTGGCGAGAGGGTTTCACGCCCTCCCTGAGATCAGAGCTGCTGAAAGGCACCATATAAATGTAAGTCGTTACCATTATGGAGAAAGGAATTAGAGACCCCATTTAGCAAAGGCAGCAGTTGCACACTCCATTTCATCCGTCCTGCTTGGTGAATCCTTCATTCCCCATGCCTCAGCTCAGCCAAGGATTGCATTGTCTCACGAGCTCCCTTACAACCCGCTCAGCTTAGAGTTGCCCAAGTCCTTCTCTATTTTCCTTCTTTCACTCTGCATCTTCAGTTTCAGAAGAAAGCAACTCTTTGGGCCTGTTTTCTAGATGTATACCATCTGCTAAATCACCATTCTTTAAAATGCTTGATTTGTGCCCAAAATGCATAACAACATGGAAAGAGATAGTCTCTGATTCAGACTTATCAGCATTATTTGAGTGTAGCACGAATCTTAAAAGGTCTTCATACAAATAAAATCACATTTCAGCACAAATAAAATATCACCATATTTGAGTCTCTCTGTCACCAGGCATCACTATCCGCCTTACGTACACAGGCTTCCAGAAGAGCAAGCCTGTCCAGAGTTGACAACACATAATCAGAATGATGCCATGTGCCTTCAAAGTCAAATTCCCATAGGTGGTAGAAGTCTCTAGTGTGAGTGATGGTCTTCCTCTTTGGATTATTGGAATCAATCTTTGCATATTTTGACCTAAAATTCTGCCATGTCTGAGATATCACGACTGAACCTGCTGTCTAGGCTCCTTTCAAATAATGGGAAAGCAGTAACATGAGTATATTTACATATGGTACCTTTTAGTTCAATGCCATCATTAGACAAGGAAGCCAGCCCTCATTCCCAAATGTCAAATGCCTGCCTCATGATGAATGGAGGCTGAGAACTCATCCTGAGGTCACCTCCCAGATATCAGAATCATACCATGCAGGTAACCAGATTCCCTGGAGCCTGGCCCTCCCCACTTCTCCTGGTGGCTTCCCATCTTGCCCTTTGCCAGCTCCTCTTATCAAGCACTGCAGGGCATTTGGGGAGGCAGAATCTGCTGTCACTCATCACCAAGACAGGGATCCCCATGCCAGAGCAACACAAAAGCCCCCTCCAAGCAGTTATCCAAAACAAGGAGCGAGTCACGTGGATGAGATGTCAGGAAAGCCTTACAAAGGAAGCATGTGAAGACTGTGGCAGAGAAATAAAAGGAAGGTCAGTCATGGGAGGAAACGTTCAGACCGGAAGAAAGGATAGTAATAAATGGAGAATGGGTGAAGCGTAATTTGTGTTACCTTAATCCAA